GTTTGTCGTCGTCTACGTTTGCTCCATAAATAAAACATGTCCACTTGTTATTGCTGCCCTCGACAGACGTTATTCCTGGCCATCCATGTGCCTTTTGGGGGGGAGCGACTGCCTGCAGCCCGTGATTGTTATTGGGATCGAGAGATTGGCACTGGCATCGCCTTTGTTATTGAACTATTTACATTTGTTGCTGCAGGGCGGCTGCTAATTTACGACTCTCTCCCGGGCATCAATGAGCCTTAAAGCAGCCGGCAAATTGTTGTTCATAAATAAATATGCCCAACATAAATCCCTATGCTATAAATAAGCGTGAGCAGGCGTCAAGCAATTTATAGGCATTGATTTTCCGGCTCCTCGCTCCGGCGATTCCGTTCTCAAAACGCCCGGAAAAGTGACAAAAGTCTTGGGCGAGCGAACGTGAACCCCAAAAGTGAAAGTGAAAGTGAAACTTTCTCGTTGAGGTCGGGGGTCAGCCGCAGCACGTTGTTGTTCTGTCCCACGTTGTCGTTGTCCGACTGACACTTATTAGATAAGTTTTTTGAAGCTCGACCAGCGGCCCCGCCCGGTACATCATTTCGCCATTTGGCTAGAGCCGGCGGAGAGCTGACTTCAATTTTAATTGCACGCTTATCTGGGCCAAAAATAACGCCAGTGTCGGGGGACCTCGGCCTCTCGAAATCCCAGCTAAGCCGGGCCAATAAGACTTTTTATTGTCTTAGCCGGGCATTTAAATTGATCAAAAATGTTTCGAGGAAAACCAGAGCACAGCAGAGCAAAGCAATGCCTAAGCCAGAGCCAAAAGCTCTGAGAACCGAGCGCCGAGAGCCGATAGCCAATAGTGAACCTGGCCCGAAGTCTCGGGCCTGACGATTTCATTCAATCTATAAGTAATTTCTTGGCCATTTTTATCACACAGCCAGGAGGAAGCCGACGTTGCCGGGCGATGAGCTGAGACCACCCACGTGATTTGAATATTTTTCCAATAAACTTCAACAGCTTTTCAACAGTTCGAAGTGGGGAGCGGCTCCAATCCCTGTGCTACTGCTCCTGATCCTGCTGCTGCTGCTGCTGCCTCCCATCCTGTTTTCATTTACATATTGGATTTAAATGCCCGGGCTGCCTTCGCCTTCGCTGTTCATGTCCAGCTGAGTGTTTTTCCGGCTCCGCTTTGGCTTTTGTGGCAGGACCGAAAAGGAGACGAGCCTAAGCTTAATCGAATCTGCCGCAAATTGGCAATAAATTTTAATTTTGAAAGCGATTCCCCAGCGCTGATTGTAGTTAATCAAAGCGAGGCCGCAGCCTAAGAGGCCACTCGCCGCGGAGAACTCCATTTGGCCACAATGCAATGCGGCTCGTGCACTCCATTGTCCCCGATCTCGGGGCAATGCACTTCGCAGGCAGCCGCCCCGAAATCCCATTCAATTTGCAGGTGAAAGCGCGGCGCCCCAGCAAAAACTTAGCAGCAAACAAGTTGCAAAGAGCAGGAGGCAAAAACAAGGCTTATTTACCTTGGTCAGGAAGGGTTTTTTTCCCTCAAAAGCAGGAGCAGTAGCAGCTTTTGAAACTACTTCATCAATTTCATTCAGCACAACGGCGCCACTTTTTTTCCCTGCTCTCCGCTGTCCTTTATTTTGTAGCTCCTAGTTTCCTCCTTTTTTGAAGCCCATAATCAACTTAAAAGGCATTGGCAACAAGAGAAAACAACGGCAGCTGGAATGACTACACACAAAATATTGTGTAATGGAATTTTGAAAGATTTTTAGGTCAGCTGGTTTAAAAATAGCTAATCAAAGTTGGGAAATCGAAACTAGGTATCGCTTTTATCAGAAAGTCTATTGGTTTTTGGGATAAAACATGAATTCGAAACCATTTATTGATAACTACTAGTAGTTGGAAGAAACTAAAAATTAATAACTCTTTCCGAAAATAGTTTGCTGTGTAGCTGAGACCAATGTGAAATGATGTTGTAGTTGTGGATATAGCTGTTACTGGTTGCTAGTTGTTGGTTGTTGGTGGCAGTCTGTTGGTTGTTGGTTGCTAGACTGCCAAAGGCATTGGCAGCGCCATTACGATGCCAGCGATTACGCCCACTTTGGGGGGCGGAGGACCTGTGTTTCGGCCAGGGCTTGTCGCCTGTCTGTCGCTATCCTTCGAGCCTTTGCCACGGAAACGGATTTGACGAGGCATGCAGCACTCGCAGAACCAGCGTTTCGACACTAATTTCATTTGCTGGAGACAGTTTTTGTGGCCGGCACCGAAACAAAGGCCGCGGCAGCAGTTAAAGGTTGAAGACACGGCGTTCACGCCGCCAGCTGTACTCCAAATAAGTTGTAATTCCAGAGCATTACTTTTGAGTTCAATTTGCGAGCTGTTCGCAAAAACACGACTGGCTGTTGAAAGTTGGCAAAGTATTTATTTATTTTGCACGCAGCAATTGCGTTTGCCTTGCGAGTTAACTGGAAACTGTAAATGGTTTTTAGCGCTCGGCGGTTAAGACAACCGAGCAAACAGACGCTGATGGCTGCCTCTTGTTTCCTTTCATTTAGCCAAGTTCTCAAGTGCTGCCTGCAGTTTACTCTTTTTGCACCCATCCCCGAGGACCAGGAAATCAGCAAAACGGAACCGAAGTAATGAAGTAACTTCAAGGATGCCGAGTGAAAAGTGCGATACCGGAGAATATTATGGCTCTATTTTGCTTGCCGTATACTATATACTATAGAATTTGGAATTCAATGGTTTGTTTTGATCTGAAATATTTTGCTTTCACTAAATTGAATTTTATCTCATTTTCTACATCTGTATTTTTATCCAATAACCCACATATCTCTCTGCCCGCAGCGCAGCACACTGCATGTGGAATAAATTATTTTGGCTTTTATTTCGTCTTCTCTCCTCAAAATTCCTTCAATGTTTTCTCTTTAATTTGATTTTATATTCGATACAAATTTTTATTGCAAGTTCTTTTAACAAAATCGGAACAAAATTCCTTTTTATTGAACATTTAAATATTGGAATATAATTTGTAAAATGTCGTACTGGGAAATAAAAACTCTGTGGTACTTAAAAGTCCTTCGTTTACTGTATATCCGCAAATATTAGTTTTCAGAATAATTTATTTGACTCCATTTGCCACCTGTCTGCGATTTCCCCTGCTTGATTTTCCCCTCCTGCCGATTTCCCAACGTGGCACTGCCAACATTCTGCCATCTAAGCCAACCTCTTGAGCTGAAATAACTGTTTCAACTTTGACTCTGCTGTTCGAATAGGATTGCCGTATGGGTTCGCTGCTCTCAATCTGACAATCGCATTGGCAATGCGTGCGCCACGCTTTAATGCGAAATTCTGATTGCGCTCGAATGGCTTCATTTATTTTCGCCACCAACGACCAGAACGGAAAAAAAAGGCAAAACATACTGAAAAGGCGGCGAGGAAAAACTGCGAAAATGCGCAAAGGAAAAACAAACCCGACAGTTGTACATAATATTTCACTTATGCATGTGCGCCCCCTCAGAGCCAGCGAGCAAAGTGAAATGAATGAACGAGTGACTGAGTGGCATGCGTAGCGCTAGGAAATTTGTTATAGCAATTTGAACTGTCAACGGGAAACCGAAAAAGTAAATTAAGAAACATTTGAAATTTAATTCACTTGCCAGGCCCAGTCCTTCCGGAGACTATTGCCCCGCTGGGGGGATATCCACATGTACGGTACATTCACATACATAATATCTCCTCGCATATGCAATATGTGTGCTCGCATTAGAGCTCGTGAGTGGCAGCATCATAGTCGCAGAGAATACCTGTCTGCCAGGTGACACCTCCGCCACTTGAGCACAGTAACACAGCAACGCCGAGAACAACTGACAGGACCCAAAACACACTCTCGAGTCCTCCGAGTCACACAAACGCACAGAGAAAAAAATTACTTCATTCTTAGGTGAATATCAAGTAAAAGATGTTAATCAGAGCGGCATCCTAATATTCTAGTATGCATTTTTATCAAAGAGTTATCTTTTAAAGGTGCTGATTCACAACTTAATTTAGACAAATTACTTATGAAAATATTTCATTCCCCCAATAATTCCTGCAGTTTCTTGCAGTTAAAATTCTCGTTGACCAACAATATTAACTAGATTGTAACTTTTTTCCATGATAATTTTGCAGCTCCTAATTTTTTACGTGCACAAACATTTTGAGACCTGCAAAATTAGGCGAGTGTCACGAATTTAAAATAACTTTTAATTCATTCTTGATGAACATATGCAAACGTTGTTGCTCCAGCCGAGTGCCACACGGCGTACGAGTGCGGCTGGGAAATGAGCCCCAGTGCGACTGGGAATGCGAGAGTGTGTGTGAGTGAGTGTGTGAGTGCGGTTGCCACGCCTCTTGAGTGCCACATAACTCGGGCTCAGCATAAACAACCGCACTCGCATAAATGTTCGTTAAACTCAACCCGACTCAGCCTTCTCCCCACCTGAGCCGCATAATTATTTAGTTTCCAGTTGGACGGAGGCTGGGAGACTGGGAGGCCCAGCTACTTGGGTAAACAGACAGACAGTCGGAAGAGGGGAGGGGGAATGGGGTAGGATCCCCTGTCTTCGATTGTCATAAATCACCGAGGACCGGAGATCGGGGCCGCACTGTCAACCGATTGTTGGCCGGTGGCATATGTTCGCTCCGGCGACCAAAAGCCCAGGGCCTCCGACAGGTGCAAGTTAGAGCGACCCACTTAACGGAAAAATTCAAATTTTTCAGCTCGCCCGCCGAACTTTCCGGTCCACTTGCCAGGGGAAATAAGCAAAAAGGCATAGAGCTCGTGGCAAAATAAAAGTTAGCGTAAATTATGCGCCAACGTGCGCGGCCCTAATAAAAATAGAAGAGAAACCCAGGCCCAGGATGCGAACCCAGCGGGGAAAACAAAGAGCAATGCTAGTGCATTGAACTGGTACTCAAACTTGTACATAACGATACCGAGTTCCGAATACCGAATACCGAATACCAACCTTATAGCGAGCGCGTAGGAATACTTCAGCGCTTTCAGCACTTTCGAAGTTGTTGTGGCTTCTGCTCCTTTGGCTTTGGCTTTGGCGCTCCTGCCGGTTTATGCTTTCTAATCCACGCACGTTCCGCTTTTAATATTTATTCTCCGCTTTTTCACACTTTGCACACTGACGGAGACTGAAGCTTCGCTTGAGACTGCGACTGCGACTGAGACACACAGCACACTCACTTGCCGGGAACAACTTCAAAGGATAACAACCGGGCAGGAGGCTCTGGTCCTGGGGCTCTGATTATCGATGCCCCGCTCGACGGATGGGTTTTTGTTATGCACGGCGGCCGGCGCGCACAGTTCATCAATGCAAATTGCCACTGAACCACGGAGCACCGCGTTATCGGCGGGCCAGAGATAACCCGCTAACTGGGGGCACTGACTGCCCGTATCTCGTGTTTATATTTATATATTTATACTGCTACGTCTACTCTGTGTTGCACGCCGAATTCCCCAGCGATAAGTCCGAATGTACGCCACTCGAAATGTTATTTAATTATTGTTGTTGTTTACTTTTGGGCCAAGCCAGTTTTTTTTTATTTTGTATTGTTTTCCCAGTGGGAGCGAAATAACACCGTTACACTAACCGACCCGCACGAAGGACCTTTTTCAACTGATTCGCACTCGAAGTCGCGGCGGAACGAGGCGACTCGCCGGCCCGAAGTCCTGGCTCGGATCAGGATGGCAGCCGAACCGTATCCCGTCGGCCGTGTGGATCCCAAGCGCTTCGGGCCCGGTCCAAAAACGAGTCGGAACAGGACCAAGCCGCTTGTGGATGCTGTGTGCCAAGTCCAAACTGTTCCGCCTGATAAGAGGCTGCAACGTTTTTTCGGCCGCGCGCATTGACAACAATTTATTTTTTGCACGCTGCTCGCATTTAAATGTTTTTGCTCATTGTCTGCTCGGCTCCCTCGCTGGGAATTTGTGTGTGCGCACTTTTTTAATCACTTAAAAATGTATGCGTCTTTTTTTCGACACGTGCGTGTCAAAATGCTAGCAAAGGGTTAAACGTCAGGAAAAGAAAAAGGAGCAGGGGAGGGCTGCGGAGGAGTGTGGAAAGACACGCGGACCGGCAATTTGTTGCCAAGTTTATTACAGTGACAAACAGGCCAGGTCCGAGCTGCACGCGCTAAAGACGTCACGCAGCGATATGCAATGCCAAAGTTAATGGCTATAATCCCGAACGAGTTGGACAAGTCAGCCGTAGCAGCCGTTTCCTTTTACGAGTGCGTAATAAGAAAGCTCGAAACGTGCCAGCCAGAACGTGATCCCACATCCACGGGAGCCTCTATCCTCGCCTCCTCCTCGGCTCGATTTTTTAAAATTAAGCACGGAGCCCGTTCTAATCCCGGCCAAATTAAAAACACTATCGTCGTCGTGGCCCGAAGAGCGCGAGGCGCCAAAAAACACAAAGAGAAAGAGAACACGGCGGAGAGTAGGTTAGTGGGCCAGCAACTTAAGCCAGCAATTAAACTCGAGCCCAGCCAGGATGCATATCGGCTCGCAGGACACCGACATCCGCGAAGGTGTTGTCCCGGCATGCGTGCCACTTGCACTGCACTTGAACAGCTGCTTTAAGTTGAGCATCCGACACTCTCTCGAGCGCAGAGACTTCGCTAAGTATTTTTCAATTAAAATGTCGGCGAAACTTGCACGCATGATAAGCACAAAAGTTTTTCATTGTCAGCGCCTAGCAGAAGAAGAACTGGAGATCCTGCCACACAATGGCAGCCGCACATCGCAGGACCAGGACCCACCAGACAAGTCTCGGCGGGCGCCCATCAATCTCCCCAGCGACATTCTGTGCCCCCGCATAACATAATGCTGGATTTCTGCAGCTTCCGATTCGCCTTTTTTCTGCGGCTGCCGACGACATATTTAAATCAGAATCGGGCGACTCGAATCGGCTTCCGGCCGCTTAGGCCGCTGAAAAATGAACTTGTCCGCCGACTGGCGCCAGTAAATAAGCATGCTTTCAAAGCTAGTCTGCACTGCGAAAAATATGGAAAGTATGTCATTCAGCCAATAAATAAAATTGAATTTAAAGTATATAAAATGTATATATTATAGATTTCAACTTTTTTTTCTTGAACCATTTAATATAAAACGTAAAACATTTTTAAAACTTCCATAAAAATTAAGCTTCAATAAACCATTTCTGGGAACTAAATATTGTTGGCCACAATTGTCAACTTTGAGCCGTATTTGATGTGCGATTCCAGGAATCACGGATGAAAAAAAAACCACTGGCCTTTTTTTAGAGTGTGGGCTTTTGGAAAGCTTCTAATCTAAGTGCTATGGAATCATCAGCGATGTGACGGCGACATGTGGGCAGGGATTGGGTGCCCTGGGGGAGGTGGAGTGCCAAGTTTCCCTGGCCAGCGATCAACTGGACAAAGCTGTGCTGTGCCTGTTGCTGTGGTGCGTTGCCTTTGCCTTGTCTCGTTCATGTGCAAGTAGATGTGGATGTGGCTGGGCTGTGGATGTGAATGTGGATGTCCTGTCTGCTGACATGAGCTGCAAAGTGCGGCACGTGTTGGCGTAACAATTTGGCAGTGCCAAAACAACAACAACAACAGCAAGAACGAAAACGAAAACGGGACGAACAGGACAATGGCAAACGCTTTTATGTGCCGTAATGAAAAACTGTTATCTGCGTGCGCAATTTGAACGCAATTTGGTAACGCGTTTCGCCACATAAAACTTAAGTGACCCGAAACCGGGCCGACAGGAGCTGCACACTGCCGTCGCCGGGATCAGAAGGACCCGTGTCCGTGTCCGAGTCCGAGTCCGAGTCCTTTGGCTGTGTCGTGTGTTTATGGCACTGCGTGCAGCTTGCAAAAACTGTTGACACTCGCAGGAAAGTCAAAAGGCTAAGGTCCAAGCGTCGGCCGAGTGTGAGCAATGGAATTGTTTGGCGATTATGCAGCATTAAAGCCAAATGTGCCGTTCACCGGCATTCGTTTCACTTTCTCGTCGCCCCGAACGGACTTACTTTTATTTACATGTCACTCAACTGAGGCACACAAAGCTCGGCATTCCCCTGTTTAACCGCCGTGTGGCACAACAGATTTGCTGCATCTGCGGCTTTGGCGAACTATCATTAACATGTGGCATCCAGCGACCCCCCATCAACCCCAAACCCTTAGCCCTTAACCCATGACTGCCCCTTAATGCCGCAACACGGACAACAAAAATCCGGCGCTCTTGCAGTTTTTACAACTTTGCCTGGCTGCTGCTGCTGGTGCTTATTTACTTGTAAAATTTATTAAATATTTTTGTGGCCGTTGCCTTTGCTTTGTTACCCCTTTCTGCCAACCCTTCCTTCCATTGTTCCTTTTTTTGCCCTCTCATTTTTTGTGTACCACAAAATTGCTGACGTTTTTAATCCTTAAGAAGCTTTTGGCTCACATTTTTACTGCATCCAACGTTTAGAGAGCAGCAAACGAGCGAGTGAGCGAACGGGGTTTCCCTTTTTTTTAATATGCATTTTGCATAATTTTCATATAAACATTACTCATACGCCATGTGCACCGTGCAGTAGCAGAAGCAGAAGCACCAGCCCCTGCGGCACTGGAGCAACATAATAAGCAAAACAATTTTGCCAGCTTAACGCAAATGAAATTTTGAGCCGGGCTCCCAAAACCACGGCTGTAATTTGATTGGCGAACCGGTACAATGAGCTCCGCTCCGCTAAACCCATTCATCAAATCGGCGCTGCATTTGTTGGCTTTATAAACTTTTATTGAGCACACAAGCGCACAAATATCTGCGTGGCTCGAAAGTGCACTTGGCCAAAAACCAAACCACGGCATATATGAGGCAACAGCAACAGACCAGCAGCGGGGCTCTTATTTAGGAAGTGGCAGAGGCGTAGACAAATAAGGGACAGACCCGGAAAACTTACTCCCGAATGCCCGGATAAAAGCAGAATCCTGCGGCTCTCACCGCCCGGAATCTAGGTTCCTGCACTAACCAGCATTTTGCGTGGGCCCAAGCTGCTGCTTTCGACGCCGCTGGCTATCAAATTTTAATTAAAATTCAAAAACCAATAAATGCCCGGGCAAGAAACAAAAAGCAAACAGAGAAAATACCCGCTCTCTGAGAAAATAAACTTGCATGCGGCATGCACAAAAGGATGCCACTAAAACGATCTATTAAAAATATTTCGCATGCATATTATTCTATGCACTTTTTCGATTAAATTCATTATTTGGCCCGGCCTGCTCCGCCTGCATGTTTGTGTCTGGCCGATGCAATAACGTTTATGCAAGCTAATTGAGAATTCCATAATCGAAATGGGGGTCACCCCAGATATCGGATACCAATTCGAAAATATTTGTGATGGTTCTGGTTCTGGGCAGGGTGATACGGCTCTCATCAAAATTACCGGAATGCATTTAGGGCAGCAATGCAAAGGTAATTGTGTAACGTCACTTTGTCCAATCCTCGCATGCCGCAAACTTTCGCCCAGTTCGAGGAACTATAGAACTTTTGCCTGGTAATTAAGCACTGAGCAGAAACAATGCCCAAGTATTTTCCACTCGCTTGCCCGCCTGTCTATTGTTGTTTCTTCTGCCGCTTGTTTGGCTTATAGTTTAGCAATACACTTTGCTTTTAAATTATTGTCTATATTATACAATGGAACTAATTGTGGGATGAATAAATCCTGTACTATGAATTCTATCACCTGAAAGAAAAGTAAAATCTGAATCTATTCAGTGTAGTATTTATTAAGCAGATGTTTTTATGGCATTCGATATTTTCTCAAGGTGTAGCTTGCAGCTGCACTTCCTCCAGCCAGCTGCCGCTCTCGCCGGCATTGTTTATGTATCTTAAGGATAATGACGCGCTTCATTATGCGCTTGTGTGGGGATGCCGTGGATGCTCGCTTTCGGAGCTCCTGGCGCTCTTGCTTTATGCTTTCCGTGGTATTTATTTTTTTATTTTTTAAGTTCGCCGTCTTTTGCGTAAAAACTTTTCGACTCCTAGACGTCGCGACGTTTCCCCCAAGATAATAGAAACTCGATACGCTTTGCGCATCTAAGCTTTATCTATGGCTGACTCCGTCGTTGTTTTGGCATTGTTCTCGCCGCCCTCCCCACGTCCTTTGTTTTTATTTACCCACACCGGAGCGAGCGGCTTTTACAAGCAGTAAATTTAAGTTGATGCTGCTTTCGTTCCTTTCATTTTTTCTCCGCTTTATCCCCCCCGCCCAGCTGCCCTGCAGTGCGGTGGAAATAAAAATGTTGAATCGTCATAAATGGCTCCATAAACTACGTCAATAATGCCCATGCCCCCAATGCCTGGCCTCGACATCGCAATGTTGCCGGGCAACTTGTAAGGCAGCCGCCAAGAATGAGCATAAAAATGAGAATGAAAATAAAAATAGTTGGCCAGCATAAACGCCTCCGTGATTTTTACATAGGCGAACCCCACATCCTCATCCTGGTCCTTGTCCATCCGGATCCTCCAACGCCAAGTCCAGGCAAATCCCGAGTCCAAGTCCGATTCAAAGTCCGAGTTCCAAGTCCATCGCTTTGTCCGCTTGTTTTTTATTGTTTGCATTGCGACGTCATTGCCATGGGCGCG